CCCCAAAACCCCAAAACCCCAAAACCCCAAGATTATTATGATTTTTGAATTAAGATTGTGATAGCATTTAAATATTAATAATTGACTTATTTCTGATGAATAACTAAACAACAATTAAGTTAGATCAGTGTGCCATTAACCCTGTTGAGTTTGAAGAGTTAAAGTAGTGTTCTATCAAATTGGACATGCTTACAGGTAGTAAAGAATGTATAATCTCAACTAGCTCTCACTTTTTGAAGTTGGCAGAGAAGAATCATGCTATGATCCCTAAACTAATGGAACTTTGGTAATCAAAACTCAAGGAATGTCCTGAGAAGAAAAAGCTATCTTTCATCTATCTGGCAAATGAGATCATCAATATCAGTAAGATGAATGATTCCAAGAAGAATGAGAAGATTCAAGAAATGAAGTCGTTTTGGATGTTCTTTGAGGACATAATTTCTGAAGCAGTAAGTCAGGCATACATAGAATGCAAGAGCTTATCTTCAGATAGAAAAGGTATGATGAAGGTGGTGAATATTTGGAAGAATCGTTGCACCTTTCAGATTGAAAAGCTAGACTAGTTAATCTAAAATCTTAATGAAATAGAGCAGGATCTTATGAAACTCAAGGAGAAGCAGAACTAGCAGCATTTATCCTCTGGTGGCAATTAGAAGTAGAAATCAAACAAGAAAAGAAAGCATCCTCCCATCAGCTTGAGTGAGTTCAACAATCAGCCAGACTTCATTGTACAAGAATAGTGGCTGTCACTTGCTGATCTGATTCAGTACTAGATCGAGACCAAAGCCAAAATGACTAAGTATTCAGGAGAACTAGATACGATGTGTGAAAAGCTGGATCTTGTTGATGAGATTGAATTTGACTGCAAAAGTGATGAATATTCTAGATTGTGGAGACTGTACGAGGAATAGCAAAGAGCTCTGCTGACCTAGCTTAGAGATTAATTTGCTAAAATTGACAATTAACAATTTTAGAGTCTACTTATCACATAAAAGATGGATGAAATGCTGGAGAAAGTCAAGAAAATCAAGTTTAAGCTCAACATTGAAGAATGATAGCAATCTTAATTTAATAAAACTAAATATATAATCAGCAAAAATTTGTTAAAATAATCAAAACTTAATTTCTTTATTCCATAATTCTTCCTCAATACCCACTTGAGGGGTTTTGGGGTTTTGGGG